AAGTCAGCTTGTTCATCAATAAAAATGAATATACATATATTATTAATAATATAAATAAACAAATAATTATATTAGTATTAAACCGAATAATTGTGTCATCTTTTAAATTACTAAATTTTGTTATAATTAAACCAATAATCTTAATAAGTATTATCATAACTATTTTAATTTTTTTAAAATAGGAGTTAGTTATTGATAATGTCTAATGAGATAATTGAAATAATTAGAAAGTTTTTTTTTTAATAAGATTGCATGAGTGTACGCTAGTAAAGGGATATACATGAGTTGTCCCTATGATAGAAAATAATATCTTTTATTCTCTCTTTATGACATTGTATACATACTTCGTATCCCTAAAATCAACAATTGGTATATATCAAAAATCTTTCTTTCAAGAAATCGACTTAGATTGAGAGCTTATCGTATACACTCCAAAAATCATAATGAATACGAAACCTGAAAATCAGTTGCTATACCTCTAGTTTTCAATGGAGAAAATTACCAAATTTGGGAACTTAAGATGCAATCCTATCTAGAAGTAGTAGATCTTTGGGATGACATGGAGGAGGATTATGCAATTCCTCCTTTACCAGAAAATCCTACAATTTCTCAAATTAAAATTTAGAAAAACATAGAAGCAAAGGAAAACAAAGGCCAAAGTGTGTTTATTCATTGTTGTATCATAAGAGATTTTTACTAGAATCATGATGATGAAGTCAGCTAAAGAGATGTGAGATTTTCTCAAAAAGGAATATGAAGAAGATGAGAGGGTCAAAGGGATGAAAGCTCTCAACTTGATTAGGGAGTTTTAAATGCAAAGGATGAAGGAGTCAATAACTATGAAGGAGTATTTTGATCTACTTCTCAACTTTGCAAATCAAGTTAGATTGTTCGGTCAAAAGTTGGAAGACCCTAGAATTGTCCAAAAAAATCTAGTTACTCTTCTTGAAAGATTTAACTCCACAATCTCTTTTTTAGAGACTTTTAAAGATTTGACAACTATTTCCTTCATAGAAGTGTTGAGTCTTTTACAAGTTCAAGAGTAAAAAAGACTCATGAGACAAGAAAGCACAATATTTGAGGGAGCTTTGTTGGAAAAATTGTAGATCAATCAAAGAACCACTACAAGGAAAATGATGAATTGCGACGGACAAATTGCGACGGTTATCCTGAAATCGTCGTCGCTGTGATATTGCGACCCTTCATACGACGGTTTCTACCAACCGTCGCAAAATTTTTCAACATTGCGACAGTTTCTCCCAAAACCGTTGCAAAATTTTCCAACATTGCGATGGTTCCTCCTTGTTCATATTCTTCATATGTTGCTTCATTTATCTTCCTAGCTCATCTTAGAGAGCATTGTTGATGCATTTAATGTGAGCATTAAATGCTTATCAGGATGCGTGTATCTCTTATTTGATTCAAGCAATGACTTACACTACAAGAAAAATGCAAATTATCGACGAATAATTTTTTACGGATACAAATCCGTCAGAAAATTTATATTTCCAATGGATTTTATCGATAGAAATAAAATTCGTAGGAAAAATTATATTACCGACAGATAATTTCCGACAAATACAAATCTGTCATAAAATTTATATTTTCTTCGGATATAATTTTTGACGGATACAAATCTATTAGAAAATTTATATTTTCGAAGGATACAAATCTGTCACAAAATTTATATTTTAGACAGATATATTCATCGATAATTTTTTATAGATATAAATCTATCAAAAAATTTGTATTTCCAATGGAAAAAAATTGTAGGAAAAATTATATTACTGATAAAATATTTTCGAAAAATTTATACTTGTCAAAATTAATGTAAGAATTTTTGACAAATATTCTTAGTAAAGTTACTCTTAGTAAAGTTACTCCACTCAATAACTCATGATGTATGTTGAATTTCATCGATCCAATTATTAAATTAAAAATTATTAAATTTTACTAATAATTAATATATAAAAAATTGATTAGCTTTGGAATAAATTATTTGCAAACAATATAGTTGAAAAGTTAATTATTTTAAATTATTTAACTAGAATCTTATTGACAATTTACTATATAATCTTGATATTTTTGTATAACTAATATCTGATTTTAAATTTGATATGAAAATATTATGATATAATTAAATAAGATTTTAAATTAGTATTTTATTAATG